GCTTTTCAGTTAACAGCCTTTCCCTCCCTGGCATCGGCAGGACACTCAGCACATTCTCCAGGATGATGCAGCGGGTGGCTGGCTGTGATGTAACATCAGGGATTGCATCACCAACATGCTTGGGCACAGTGTCTGCAGCACAAGGCACGTAGAGCGGCACAAACCAGCCTGACATCACGGTGGCTGTGCAGCTTGCATGTGCAGAGAGGCGTTAAAGGGTTCTGGGGTGTGTAGCGAGGCCAGCAATGCTTTGGTGGCACTGACACCCTGGGCTGGCGGGGACAGGTCCAGTGATGGCTGCTGAGCGGAGACCACCTGGTGTTCCCTGCCTTGGCACCATTGGGCCATGGGCAGGGCTCCTGCACATCACCCAGGATTTTTAATTTTAAAGCTGCCTTTTTTGGGGCACTTTTTTGGTTCTTTTGATCTTCTTTTCCAAGACCAGTGACTTTAGCAGGAGCCAGTTCCTCCCAGATGAGCCCACCAGCTCCAAAAGGGGCTGGGAACAAGTGATCTGAGCTCGTCCTTACTCACTCGAGTGGCATGGCTTGTGGCCAAGACTCTTCCATGCTTGTACCATGTGGTGGCTGATGAGTCACAGAGTGATTGCCTGGCCCTGTGCTGGTACCAACCCTGCCCAAAGCCCTGCCTGTTTTCGCTTTCCTTCTCACACCTGGAACTTCCCGTGCACCCGGGATTTCTTGCTCTGAGCAGGTTCGAGTGGCTTCAGCCCACTGGGCTGCATAAATCTGAGGAGGGGGCTCCATCATTGTCATCAGCACTGCTCTCCTTGCAAGGTGTCATTTGCCATTGTGGCTGGGGCGATGACTGCGGCAGGTCCTCAATGCCCTGCAGACCCTGCCGGGCACAGTGTGGTGTCCCCAGTCTGTGCCAGCTTTGGGGGACCCTCTGCTGTTGTGGCAGGAGCAGGCACTATCACGGTTTGGAGGAGCCGTGCCAAATGCGGCCAGGCTTTGCTGGCTGGGCTGGGGACTTGGGATATGGTGGAGAATGGCATTGCTGTTCAAGACGCTTGCTGGCGTGCCAATGCCCAGGTTGGCACGACCATGTTCCGTCAGGGAAAAGCCCTCACTGCTGCTCAGCCAGGCACCCATGGGCTCGACTATGGCTGGTGGTGAGTGAGGGGCAAACATCTGAGCAAGGCATCCAGGAGATCTTCAGCTCTTCATCACAGCTGCCCTAAGTGCCGGGGGGCTGTGCTCATGCCCTGGCTTCCCTGCTCAGCTTCCGCTTTTCGTTTGCTGCTTCCGGATCTCCTTTTGCCTACATGAAGAGATGAGGTTTTGCTTTACTTCTCCAACCAGAAATGACACCCAGGAGATGAAAGCCACAGCGACGGGGAAGAGGAGCCAAAGAAGCTGGGTCCCGCAGGGACCTGATGCTGCTCTGGGACTCGAAGGGTGACCTGAGAGTGTCCCCAGTGCTGTCCTTGGTGAGGGCCCATGACATGGGGCAGTGGTTCACAGTGGATCTGCATGCATGCCAGGGCAATCTTCCAGCCCTGCTCTGGGTCTGTGGGGCTGCAGACGAGGCCATCCCAGCACTGCAGGTACTGGACTTCACCGTCTTGGTGCTGGATATCACTGTCTGGGTGTTGGGGACCTTGCTCCAGCCCTGCTGGCAGCTGCTGGAGGTCCCAAAGTGGGTGCCAAAACACCCTAGTGTGGCTGGTACCTCGCTCTGGAGGAGGAAACACCCTGTGGTGCTTGTCCCGTGAGCCAGCTGGGCTCTACCATGTGGGACCTTGAGCCACCATTGCCCTCCAGCCACTCCACTGTGACCAAAACTGTTCCAGACAGTGCCAGGACCCCTGCTCCTTCACTGGGGGACACGTTCGTTTTTACACCCAGCGGGCTTTTTTGCTAAGGTGCCATCTATTCCGGCTGAGCTGTGCCTTGCTTGGGCATCGTACGTGAAGTTAGTTATGCTGGCCTGGGCTTTTATTTCGTTGTTGTATTGAATGTGAACAAGTTGCATTGAATAAAAAATTATTATTATTACTATTAAGGGTCTTCGGCTTTAGTGCTGTATTTTGCTGTCCTGACTCTTCTTCAAGCTGCATCCCCATCTGGTTTGGTCAAAGCTGAGATAGTCACTGCCTGAGCCACACTGCTCCCTGCCTGCTGTCTCCGCTCCTCTTCACCCCCACCGTGGTTTTCCAGGAAAGACCTGAGCTCTCTGAGATGCTGCTGGAGCAGGGGAAGGGCTCAAGGAGGGCTGGATGGATCCTGCAGGTCAGCAACTGGTCCTGCTTAACCTCTTCATTAATGATCTGGATGATGAGGCAGAGGGTAGCTGCAGTGTACCAAGTTCACTGATGACACCAAATTGGGAGGAGTGGGTGACTGTCCTGGTTTCAGCTGGGATAGAGTTAACTGTCTTCCTAGTAGCTGGTACAGTGCTATGTTTTGAGTTCAGTATGAGAAGAATGTTGATAACACTGATGTTTTCAGTTGTTGCTCAGTAGTGTTTAGACTACAGTCAAGGATTTTTCAGCTTCTCATGCCCAGCCAGGGCACCTGACCCAAACTGGCCAACAGTGTATTCCATACCATGGGATGTCCCATCTAGTTTAGGAACTGGGAAGGGGGGCAGGGAATCGCTGCTCGGGGACTGACTGGGTGTCGATCAGCGGGTGGTGAGCAATTGCCCTGCGCATCATTTGTACATTCCAATCCTTTTATTACTACTGTTGTCATTTTATTAGTGTTATCATTATCATTATTAGTTTCTTCTTTTCTGTTCTATTAAACCGTTCTTATCTCAACCCAGGAATTTTACTTCTTTTCCTGATTTTCTCCCCCATCCCACTGGATGGGGGGGGGAGTGAGTGAGCGGCTGCGTGGTGCTTAGTTGCTGGCTGGGGTTAAACCACGACAGTGACACACCAGAGGGTCATGCTGCTGTCCAGAGGGACCTTGACAAGCTGGAGAAATGGGCTGAATGGCACATCATGCAGTTCAACAAGAAGTGCAGAGTCCTGCACCTGTGAAGGAAGAAGCCCAGGCAATGTGCTGGGGACCACCCAGCTGGAAAGCAGCTTGGCAGAAAAGGACAAAGGGGGTCCTGGTGGGCACCAGGTTGAACATGAGCCAGAAATGTGCCTTTGCAGCAAAGAAGGTGACCGGTATCCAGGGCTGCATTAGGAGGAGTGTTTCCAGCAGGCTGAGGGACATGATCCTTCTCCTCTATTCAGCACTGGTGAGGCCACCCCTGGAGTGCCAGGTCCAGTTCTGGGCTCCCCAGTGCAAGAGAGACATGGACATACTGGACACTCCAGCGAAGGTCCATGAAGATGACGAAGGGACTTGAGCATCTGTCAAATGAGGAAAGGCTGAGACAGTTGGGACTGTTCAGCCTGGAGAAGAGACGGCTTGGAGGCTCTCGGTGGTGCCTGCTGATGGGACAGGAGGCAACGGGCACAACCCTAAATACATGAAAGTCTATCTGAACAGGAGAAAACACTTTTTTACTATGAGGATGGTCAACCACTGGCAGAGATTGTCCAGAGAGGCTGCAGAGTCTCCATCCTTGGAGATACTCAAAACTAGACAATGTCCTAAGCAACCTGCTCCAGTTGACCCTGCTAGAGCAGGGGTTGGGGTGGCCAATGTCCAGAGGTCCCAGCCCATCTCCATGACTCGGCACAGCGTGTCCATACTAGTCTGCCTGCCCATAGGTGTATCTTTCCACAACCTTGTGCAAGAACTTTTCTCATTTGCATGGACTCTTTGAAGTCAGCAGTTTATTTCCAAATATGAACATTAAAAATTGGGTCCTTCTGGAGCAGTGTACTTCTATGGCTGCCACGTGAGGCACTGCAAAGTGCATTTATGCCTGTTGCTGCCTCACTGTGCATTTGCTTTTTAGATACAGGTATTGCTCTAATTTTCTATATTTAATGCTTGATGAATGCATGAAACTACAAGCACGGCAGTGATGTCTTCACATCGCAGGAGGTTACCTTGAGGGAAGTACAGATTTTGCTGAATGGGGGCACCGTTCCAGCTGTCAGCGGAGAGATGTCAATACGTGACATTTGTGTTTCTAGGCTAAACAAGGAGGAAACCCCAGCCAGCTCCAGTGGCTGGTGGGGGTGGCAGCCCCGCCGGCAGCCTCCCTGCACAACCCTATGTCCCACCTGGAAAATGTGGGGTAGGAGTGCTTCTGCTTGCACCCTTTTTCTTGCTTTTGTAGCGAGCCTGGTACATGAGGATAATACATGCGTAAAGCTCATGCCCGCAGCCTGCATTGTCCAGTCCCCGCTCCCGGCTGCTGCTTTCACTGTTGTGCTGCTCTTCCTGCGGGGAAACTGAGGCACAAACTGCTGCTGCTGCTCGGAAGGCACCGAAACCCTCCCGGCCACCCTGAGCCTGCTGTCCCCGTGGGGCTGCGTGCCTGGGAGTCTCCCGCAGCTTTTGGCATGGTGCCGGGCTGGTTCGTGCCCAGACTTCCTCACACTTGCCAAGTCCTCTGCACCGCTCGACGTGGCAGCAGCGTCCCTCCCGTTCAGCTCCCTCGGAGGGGTACGCACCGAAGGCAGCCCGAGCATCACCTCGCATCCCCGTCGAGGTCGAGGCAGGCAGCAGGGCAGGCAGCGGGAGGCGGGCGCTGCCCGCACCAGTGGCAGCGGGATTCCCTCTGCTACCGCTTTCGCTTTGCTGTTTTCAGACCTGCCAGGCCACGGATTTTCCTGCTAATCTGAAAGCGCAATCGCAGCGAGCAGGCAGCATAAAAAGCTGAGGAGATGGGGCAGCGAGGCAGCCACAGCGAGGAGGCAAAGCAGCTCCCCGGGACCGGCCGCCAGCCCAGCAGCCCCGCAGCCGAGCAAGCCACCCGCGGCAACACTGTCAGGCATCTCTACAGCAGGGATTTAGCGCATCCGGCCCAAAGTGCTCCCATTCGTCCTCTCTGGCTTCTTGCACCGCAGCCCCCTCGCCCCATCGTAACCTTCTCACCGTCGGGCTCTCGTCGGCAAAATGCTGCACCTCAACCTCACCCTGCTGCTTGTGCTGGTGCTGGGGTCTGGCCTCGGGGCTGCCTTTCCCCAGGACACCCTAAAGAAGAGCTGCAGCCTGTCCAAGTACCAGTTCCTTGTGCCCCATGAGCTGAAGGCTGTGCAGAAGATGAAGGAGCAGTTTGTGAGTACCGCTGGCAACAGGGGGCTGTGGGCTGGAGGGGGGCAAGGCAGAGCGGATGCCAAATTCGAGACCCTGAGTGACAAGGTGGATGTTTTCTGCAACAGTTTGGGGATGAGGAGGATGTTTTCCAAGGGAGTTTTGGGACAAAGAAGGATGTTGGGCCAAATTTTGTCCTGGTTTTAAACCCCTCAAGGCTGACTGGGATTGCACAACATCGCCAAAAGTCAAGGTGACAGTTTTTCAATCCCACTCTTGTTTTACGCCTGCAGGAGGACATCATGCTGCTGTCGAACCGCAAATGCAACACCAGGCTCTTCCATCGGAAATGGAGAATAGTGGAGCTGTCGGTAAGGGCGAGGTGATGCTGTAAAAAGGGGGTACCTGCCCTCCTCCAGCCAGGACCCCCGGCAACCAGTCCCACCTCCATCTACACCCCCGGGCAGGTCTTCAAGACCCTGACCTCCAGCCCGTGGCCAGCCCTGGTGCTTTAGGTCCGTAACCGGGATGTTCCTGCCCGCAGGTGCCTGACCGAATGGTCCTGGTGGAAGCCGAGCTGGCCCTCGTCACCGCCATGCTGGGGCTCCCTGCTGCCCCCAGGTTCGCTGAGACGCGCCAGCGGCCCTTGGCCTTCCTCACCCAAGCCCGGGAGGACCTGCGAGGCTGTGTGAGTGCCACTGCCACACCCCCCCCCCCAAGATCCCCCAACCCCATGCTAGCTCAGCAGCCCCGGTGCTGGTGGCAGCGCCGCGAGGCATTGTAAGGACACACGGCCACTTTCCTTGCAGATGGCCACAGAGGCTCCTTCGCATCAGCCGTCTGGGAAACTGAGGCACTGGCTGCAGAAGCTGCAGACGGCCAAGAAAACGGTAAGTCAGGCCAGCAGGCTGAGGGGGTTTGGGGGTGTAAGCCACTGCGCGGCTGCGCAGGGCCTGCTGCATCCCGTCTCTGGTGCTAACCCGCCCCTTCTCCCCACTGTAGGAGACCCCCGGCTGCCTAGAGGCCTCCGCCATCCTCCATCTCTTCCAAGTGCTGAACGACCTGCGGTGCACAGCCCTCCGGGAGCAATGCACTTAGCCCCTGCTGGCAGCGTGGCTGGCACGGCACGGCATGGCACTCACCGGCCACAAAAGGTGCCCCAAGGACCGGGAAAAATGATGTTTATTGCATCACTGGACTGTATTTCCTATTTAAGCATTTTTCTTATTTATGTGAACTCAGGGAGCAATTTGGGTTTTTTACAGTCTTTTAAATTATTGGGGTTTATTGTGTATTTATAAATGGCTCGGGAGGAGGTAAAGAAATGCCATTCCTGACCGATGCTGTTCAATGGGGAGGAGTGTATTTATTGGGTATCTTTGTTTTGCTGGTTTTCAAAACACTGACCGTTTTTAAGGAAATCTATTTTTGTACCTATTTATTACAGGCTATATTATGTGTATTTACCTGTATAAATTATTTTTTTATGGGCTATTTAACATGAAAAATAAAAAAGATACCATAAATGGACAAGTTGCCATCATATGTTTTTACTAAGCTTTGCTATAATATCATCCCTTTGGAAAAGCGAGTTATTGGGGGGGGGGTGAGGGAGGACATCAAGGCGAATTTTGAGCATTTGAAAATCAGCAGAACTTTGGCACTCATGTTCATCTCCAGCTGCCTGGGGGTGCACCCTAACTGTCCCCCCGGGATTTGCCTTTGGGGACAGATGGATGCTGTTGTGGCCCGGGCTGTCCCTGCCCACTCGGGGACGGGAGCCTGCTGGCCACCCATTTCCAGGACGGATGCCCGCGTTGGGTGGTGCAAACCAGGGCATGAAGCCTGGAGGAGCCCCCGGCCTAATGCGATGTACGGTACGGGCTGGGCAAGCCTCCGGGTTTGGCCATCCCGGGAGCTCTCAGAAGATCCCCAAATGATTTAACCACCAAACCAGAGGTCAGGACGAGCAAGGAGCTGGGGAAGGCAGGCACCCAGCAGGGAGAGAAGGACAAGGACTGACCTGTGAGCAGACCCAAACCTCATTCAATCTCTGTTTTCTCAGGTCAGGGGGATGGTTCTTCAGAGACAGGTCACCAGGGGAGGGCAGCCAGCAACAGCTGCCGCGTGTATGTGGGATGGCCGCACCTGGGGTGAGCGATCACCCGAATGTGGGGACCACTCAAAGCCTGGGGACCCGAAAGGCACAGGTTTCGGTGGCAGGAAGGAGAGGAGCGCAGGGGAGCCATCGGATGCTTGAGGCTGAGGTAATTTTATGGTTGCTGCTTTTAGGTTGCAGGGTTGGGGACTGAACTACCAGTGGCCGAGCTGCAGCATGGCCACGGCTTCCTACAAAGAGACAGCTGGGGACACGAGCCACAAACACTTGTCACAAAGTGTGGCCCAGGTACTGCCTGCTCGTCCTGCTCAGGCTTTGCAAGGATGCTGTCCAAATGAAACTTCTTTGATGACAAGGAAGGAAAAAAAGCTTTATTTTCCCTTTCATTTCTGAATTATGCTTTACGCTAAGGTAGCTGGGCACTGAAGAGGGGAAATGCTGTTGTCCTTGTCTTTTGCAGCTGGATGCAGGCTGCTTCTGCCAGAGCGATGGGCCCTGGCCGCTCAAGATACCCCCGGGCACGAGCCTTCAAGCAGACACCTGCACGCTTGGGCTGTATTGACTTCAAGGTGGGGGGAAGCATAACCCAAGGGGAGAGGGAAGCCCATCCTGCTGCAAGCATGCGAACGCGTACCATCCCAAAACCAGAAACCCCAGGTGAGAGGTATTTCCATGCTAGGTGGAGTACCTTCTCTGGGCCAGGGAGAGGCCAGAGGCCAGACACTGGGCTCTTTGGGGAGCTTTAACAGACTTTTATCATCCAGTCATGCACCAGGTGCTACCCATCTGCTGCCAACTAACTTTTCCTGGAGAGGAAAGCCTAATGAGGGCAGAAGGTATTTATTCATCCCCAAAATAGATGTATTCACGCTATCCTGCTCTCATTAAGATATCTACCAAGTCATTGTGAAATGCAGCTGCTGTATGTGATGCCACTGCACCTGGGAGGAAGGCGCAGGGCTGCCCGCGCATCCATCTCCAGGGAAGGAAATGAGCTGTATTGCCCAAGCAGCGGCAGGGTCACAGCACAGCTCTCCTGAGCAGAAGGTGAGGCCAGAAATCACTCCCGGGGAACAGCAGTCCTTCTTTATCTCTCTGACAGGGTTACGAGGCATAAATTTCCATCACAGTGCTCCTCGCTTCGCTTTGCATGTCCTGTGAGGGCAGGAAATAAAAGATGTGCCAATACCTTCCCTGCTCCCCCGCACAGCTGCCTTTGGCATGTTAACCTCCCGGTATCTCCCGTGCAAAGTAAGTTTGCTGCAAATTAAGGCTGGGGTGGTTGGTGGTGTTCTTTTGCCAGATGGACGAGGCTTCAGCGACAGGACAGCCAGGCTCCTTGGCGTGCTGGGAGCAGGGCTGATGGGGACGGGGGATGGAGCTGCATCCTGCCTAACACCCCTGCCAGCTTTTTGTAGCTCAGGACGAGCCCCTCTACTTCTCCTGGAGGGTGTTCACGTGTGGGCAAGAAGTGCTTTAGCTTTCCCTGCAGGGTGAGGGGAAGGGTGCCGGGAGGGAGATGCTGGGGAGTCAGAGCCTTTCTCAGCATCGCTGAGTGCTTGGCTGGTTAATGCAGAGGGATGTTAATGGCAGTTTCCCAGTCTCCCCAGGGAAAAGGAGAGAGGTGTGCTCTTCCCTGTGTTAGTTTCAGTTTGGAAACAGCAGAAGGAAAGGCAGAAAGCCTTGGTCTTGCTGTGACTCCATACGGCTCCGGCATTTGGGAGGCACCTAGTGTAGTTCCCATGTGGACTCTGATCTCTGGCCCCAAGGGCAAAATTTACCAGAAAGAAACCCAAAGCGGTGGGTAGACAGATACACTTTTAACCTGTGGTGGAGAGGAGCTTTCTGTGCGAAGTTCTGCTGGAAAATGATCGGGAAAGCACTGAGGTAGACCAAGTGGTTGGAAAAGGAGGATGACGGCAAGGCTGCAACTCCTGGAAAGGTCATCCCGAGCCAAATGCTCACTTGTGATTTGTAGCATCGTGGGGAAAATACTGGTGTCGTGGAAGGGACTGAACTGTGGGCAGGTGAAACGCAACGGCAATCATGGTTGAAGAGCACAAAACATCCTGTGGCAGCGGTGATTGTGGCTCCCCTCTGGTGACCAATGGGCAGAAGGTGTCAAGATTTTGTTTGCGTTAAATCTCAGCCCTCCTTGCCTGTGCCAGCTTGGGAGACCTCCTGGCCGACTACTCCCTGGGTGGACAAGGGAAGCTTTGTGCTGGGCAGCCCTGGCTTGGCGCAGCAGCAGCAGCCTCGTGCTCGCTAGGGTGTTTGCTTATACATGCAAATTTATACTAGCCAAACTTGGTTTTGAATATGGAAGAGTTTCTTTTTTGAAAGGAAAATCCTGCAGGATGTACATGAAATAGGATGAGGTCCTTTGGGATCTGGCAGATGTCTGGCTAAAGTAAACAGTAACAAACTACTCAATTGCTGCTCTTTTCTGCTGAGGTTTTTGTGCCACTTTCAATATCATCTAAATATCCTGGTCCTGCGATGAGTGACATGGCTAACATGTACTGCTGAGATGTTTCATTTTCTCCCTCCAAGAACTGTTTATGTAATGGAGTTTTATTTTGGTAGGGTTGTTTTTATTTCACATATATATGCAGTCTTGTGCTTCCATCAAGTAAGCAAGGGAAATGTCTACCAAATTACAGAAAAGGCAGTGGAGTTTGGGAGTTTTTCAGTTCAGCCTTCTCTGCGCTGGTCCTGAGTGGCAAAAACTCTGCAGCTTCGCAGGGAGTGTTGCCTAACACGTTGCAGGTGACATTTCTGCAGGCAAATCAGGAAAGCTGACAGCTGAGTTTTATTGATGGATCATGTGATATGCTCCTGGGTCATAAACTTCTGCTCCAAACCCTCCAACCAGAATGCAGGTTGATAATAGGGAAGGAATAAATGTGCTCTCACCTGTTAGCAGGAGCATTTTTGGGGGATCCTTGGCACTCTCAGGATAGGAAAATGAGTTGCTGCTGGTGTTACGGGAATGTACTGTTTTCTAATACACTAAATACTGGTGCTCTCAGTGTCATAATTTCTCCTCCTGTTCGGTGCTGTTCATAACTGAAAATAATAATTTCTGTCTATCAGCAATCATACTGGGAATCATTTTGTTATGTTCCCATGTTGCCATCTCGGGAGACAGTGTTCAGTGAGATCCGACTGCTTTTAATTTGCTATGACAAAGAAGGTTATTTGAAAAATAACCTTCACTTTGAACTGCAGGTGACTTCAGCTGCACACGTGGATTACTCATTATCATGCAAAACCCAGGACTTTCAACTACAGAAACAGGCCAAAAGATGCTGCTGAAGGCTCCCGGGACTCCAAACTGCTGCCTGAACTAGTAATGATGTGCTTCCCCTGCACTCCAGAAGTCTCATTTTGGCTGTCACCTCTGTAGCCACAACTGAACCATTTCCTCTGTCTCTGGAGAACCTTCCCCAGCAACCCATGTCCCCCGACTGCCCCCCTGCACTCGTGCTCCCACAGAAGTGCTTGCAGATGGGGCCAGGACAGCTTTCTGGCTCCAGAGAAGATGCCCCTGCCCCAGGGTATTCTTAATTTTCTTTTTCATTCAAGAAATCTGATTTCTATGTTCTGCTCAGAAAGGAGGACTCATTGCCCTGAGACCATGATTCTCTGTGCTCAGTCGCTCCTTCCACTGCACAAATCCCTGCCTCCAGTTGCTTCAGATAAAAGGCTCAAATCTTTGGGCCCAGCACTGATAGACTTGATGGATAATGTTTTAAGCCTTTGAGAAGGAAAAAAAAAAAAAAGATTTACAAAACGGAAGGCTGCGATTTATGCCAACCCTGGCAGAAATGGGAGAAGGTATATTGGGAAAATGTAATAATTGAAATAACTTTGGTGCAGGCATTTAAAGGCTGAGGTTTAAAAAAACCGGCCTCTCGCACCTGCTGGAGTATGACTGTGAGTCCTCAAAGTAATACGGGAATTCCAGCTGATTCAT